TCTCTCCAAGTTCATGAACAACGAATGCAAAAGAAGGCTAGTTCCATAGTTTTCGAACAAGTACTAGAGTCAACATTGACTCTAAGTAATCAAGGCTCACAAGGTAGAGGTCGTGGTCGTGGTCATGATAGAGGTAGGGGACGTGGTCTCCAACAACAAACCACTCAAAATCAAATAGTGACCCAAAGCTTTAGAGGACGAGGACGAAGCAATCGTGGAAGATCCACACCTGGGCGTGGAAACAACAAGTATGTTCAGTGCTATAACTGTCACAAGTTTGGGCACTATGCTTCAGATTGTTAGCACAAAACTGAAGACCAAACCAATCTTACCGAAGCAACAAATGATGTGGGTAACAACTCTACGCTTCTTATTGCTAATGATGATTCAAGTGTTGAGAATGATGCTTGGTACCTTGACTCGGGTGCTAGCAACCACATGTGCGGGAAGAAAGAACTTTTCATGGAACTCGCAAAAGGAGTTCATGGAAGTGTGAGCCTCGGAGATTCTTCAAAACTCATGGTTGAAGGCAAAGGGAAGATTAAAATCTATCAAAAGGAAGGTAAGCCCGAGTATATTTCCGATGTTTACTATATTCCTAACATGAAAAGTAATATTCTTAGCATCGGTCAATTACTCGAAAAGGGATACAAAGTATATATGGAGAACAACCATCTTTGGTTGAAAAATACAAATGGAGGCCTCATAGCTTGTGTTAAGATGACAAGGAACCGCATGTTTCCCTTGCATCTAAACACGAAAGTCGACAAGTGTTTTCAAGGACTCATGGAGAATGAGTCATGGAGGTGGCATCTTCGCTTCGGCTATCTAAACTTCAGTGGCCTGAAGTTACTGTCTATAGCTGGCATGGTACGAGGTCTACTAACAATCGATCCACTTAATCATATTTGTGAAGGTTGTGTAATTGGCAAGCAACCACGACTTTCTTTTCCCAGTGGAAAACCATGGAGAGCAAAGGCACCATTGCAACTTGTTCACACTAACATCTGCGGACCGATCGATCCCGTCTCTTTGGGAGGTAATAGATATTTTATAACCTTCATTGATGACTTCAGTAGAAAGTTGTGGGTGTACACTCTTAAAGAAAAATCTGCTGCCTTTACTATATTCAAGCATTTTAAAGTTTTAGTTGAAACAGAGAGCGGCCACAAGCTAAAAATTCTTCGATCTGACCGAGGTGGTGAGTACACCTCAAATCTGTTTCAAGAATATTACAGGGAGCAAGGTATAAAGAGACAGTTTACTACTGCCTACACACTACAGCAAAATGGCATTGCAGAAAGAAAGATCCGGACCATCCTCGATATGACAAGAACCATGCTCAAAGAAAAGGGATTGCCAAAGCAGTTTTGGGCAGAAGCCGTGGCGTGCTCAGCTTATTTGCTTAACCGATGCCCCACAAAGATAGTGAATAACAAGACACCTCAAGATGCATGGAGCGGTTACACGCCTAGTGTGGCACACCTACGAATTTTTGGGTGTGTTGCATATGCTTAAGTACCTGAAGTCAAAAGGAAGAAGCTTGACAATCGCGATAAAAAATGTATATTCATCGGATATAGCAATGAGTCGACGGCATACAAGCTCTACAATTCACTAACCAATAAACTAGTTGTTAGTAGAGACGTTGTCTTCAATGAAGAAGAAGCATGGAACTGGAGCAATGAAGAGACTACCAAAGATCAATCCTTGGTGAATGAACTTGATGAGTCTCTACATGAGGAACAATCACTAGCTACACCACCATCTCCTCCACATTCTACACCCTCTCCTGCAAGAGGTTCTCCATCTTCCGGGGAAGGTAGTAGCAGCGGATCTATCGTGCAACGAGGTCCCATCAAAATGAGAAGCCTCAGGGAGATCTATGAGCAGATAGAAGACGATGAAGAGTCAAATCTCTTCTGCTTATATGCTGATCATGAACCTCTCACCTTCCAAGAAGTCGTAAAAGAAGATTGTTGGTGAATAGCAATGGAGGAGGAGATCCACGCCATTCAAAAGAATGACACTTGGGAGTTGACAACACTTCCACAAAATCACAAGGCAATAGGGGTCAAGTGGGTGTACAAGATCAAGCGCACAGCAAATGGTGAAGTTGATCGGTACAAGGCGAGGCTTGTAGCGAAAGGTTACAAACAAAAGTACGGCATCGACTATGAAGAAGTATTTGCTCTGGTTGCTCGACTGGATATAGTGAGACTATTAATTTCACTTGCAGCTCATCACAGGTGGAATATATATCATTTGGATGTCAAGTCAGCATTCGTCAATGACGTTCTTGAGGAAGAGGTGTATGTGCAACAACCAGAAGACTTTCTTATGAAAGGGCAAGAAGACAAAGTGTACCATTTAAAGAAAACCTTGTATGGCTTAAAGCAGACACCACGGGCGTGGAACGCCCGAATTGATGGCTATCTTCATCAAAACGGCTTCATTAAATATCCCTATGAACATGCCATCTACATAAAGAGGAACCATAAAGGCGAATTTCTAATAATTTGTCTTTATGTTGATGATTTATTGTACACAGGAAGCAGTACCGAGATGTTTGTTGAATTCAAGGCGACAATGTTCAATGAATTTGAGACGACGGACAATGGATTGATGTTCTATTTTCTTGGCATTGAAGTGAAGCAGCAACAAGAGGGGATTTTTATATCCCAGAATAAGTACATGAAGGAGATCTTAGAGAAGTTCAAGATGAATGAATGCAACCCTGTGAACACCCCAGTAGCCATCGGAATAAAGCTCTCAAGAGAAGGAGACGGACGTTTTGTGGATTCAGCTCTTTTAAAAAGTCTAGTTGGCAGCCTGAGATACTTGACGATCACAATGCCTGATATTACTTATGGAGTCGGACTTGTGAGTCCCTACATGGAGACACCGAAGGAGTCTCTCTGGCTAGCTGCAAAGAGGATACTAAGGTATATCAAATGCACACTCAACCTTGGTCTCTTCTATGCATATGATGAAAATGCACAACTAGTTGGTTACTCAGATAGTGACTGGAGAGGTGACCAAGATGAGAGGAAAAACACCACAGGCTATGTCTTTTATCTTGGGTCAACTGCATTTTCATGGACCTCAAAGAAGCAAGGAATTGTACTTTTATCTTCATGTGAAGCAGAGTATGTGGCGGCTGCATCTACAGTATGTGAAGCAATTTGGTTGCGGAACATATTAAAGTAGTTGGATCATCCACAAGAAGACCCGATCGTAATTTTTGTGGACAACAAATCAGCCATCCAGCTTGCAAAGAACCCAGTACATCATAGGAGGAGCAAACACATAGATACACGGTTTTATTTTCTTAGAGACCATGTAAAGCAGAAAACCGTTGAACTGAAGCATTGTCACACCACTGAACAAGTAGCAGACATATTCACCAAGCCATTATCAGGTGAAACTTTCATGAGGCTAAGAGACATGCTTGGCATGAAGACATTTTGATTTGAAGGGGCGTGTTGGAATATCAAATTAAAATGTTAGAATAAATGAGGTTAATAGCATGAGTTTTAGAAGTGCAAGGGTCATAAGTTTAGAAGGGGAAGAGACATAGGTTATGGAAGAATAAGAGTTTCTCACTCCTTTATGATATTTTATCTTTATGACATTAAAAGAGGAGTTTAATTTGTGACTATTGGTATGCCTATACGTTTTGTTTTTGAAGCCTATATAAAGGGCTATTATAATCCTTGTTTCATCAAGAAAAAATTAAAGAAATAAAAGTAAGTTCTTTGTCTTCATTTGGAAGAGTTCTAAGTTCGTAAACTTAAGAGTTAACAATTTAGAGGTGAGATTAAAAAAACCGACCCAATCCGTGGTCACGATGCTGACGTGGCCATGGACTAGGTCAGTTTCTGGAAATAAAATGGGAGCGGGTCAGTTTTTAAAAAAAATTCAAATGAGTTTATTATGAAAATTTCTTCCAAGTTGTTATGTCAGATGGTCTCTACAATAGACTTGTCCTTTTGTTATTATAGAAAAGTCAGCGATCTAAAGAAGAAGAAGTTATTTCAGTCGGTCCCTACAGTAGACTTGTCCAACTTTTTTTTTTTCCCAGAGAGGTCAATCAAGGTTGCCAAATTGGACTAAAAAATTCAGCAAACTGAAAAATCTCTGTACAGTTTCTTTTTAGCTCTTATTATTATTATTATTGTCTTGGGACGTGTTTTGAAATGTTCCATCTCACTTATAAATTTGCTTTTCCGGTCAGCACATCTATCTGAGGTATAACATGAAGAAAGTGGTAGCCACATGTGCTTCTTTCATTGTCTCTTACCTCTTCTTCATTTCTGTTGGATCAGCCAGTGGCGTCGAGGGCAAAGAAATCTGTCGTTCTTCCTGCGGGTCGCTTCATAATATCAGATATCCCTTCCGTTTGAAAGGCGATCCAGCAAAGTGTGGAGATCCCAGCTATGAACTTGTATGTACTGGTAATAAAACAGTCGTGGAGATCCTCTCTGGTATGTACCTTGTCATGAACATATTTTATGACAATACTACTATCCATATCATCAATACGGGCTTGCTGAGTGGAAATTGCAATCTCCCCCTTCATTCCCTATCATTTGGCGACGTATTAATCAGATTTCACCCCGTACACAGCTATAAATATGTGATATCAAGCAAATACATCTATGCGCAGAATTGGGCTACTTTTGTTAACTGTTCAAAGAAGATAGAAAACAACATATACCGTCCTATTCCTTGCCTTAGCCAAAACAACAGATTTGTCTATGTTACACCTGGATATTCTGTGGAGAGTCTTCTTCCTTCTTGCGGTTACCTAACTATGGTCACCGTGGGCGATGTTAATATAACAACCACAGAAGGTAATGTTTTTCAAGTCTTACAGAAAGGGTTCAGTCTTTCGTGGATTGTGAAGAACTACACGAGATCCATGGTAATCCATCAATGTCTGAGGACAGCCATAGAGTGAGTGAGCCTCCATTCTATATTCACCCTAAATAATTTTATAGTAGGAATTTACCTTGTTAAGACCTCTATAGCTCTGTTCCTTTTCATGTCTTATAGTTTTCATACTTAGATCTGCAGTAGTCCAAAATATTTGCAAAAATGTTTTTATTCGTGAAATAGCCTTTAGAATATCCTATCATATCTATTACACAGAACTGCTTGATTCGATACTATACAGGCTTATTTTCAGGATATTAATAATAGGTTAATGTGCTCTTTCTTTCAATGCAGGGATACAAGGGATGATATGGATGGGTTCACCAAGTTTAAGAAGATTACGTATCCCTTTCTATTTGAGTATGAATTTGTAGAGTGTATAAAGAGAAGCTATAACCTTTATGATGGTGCTGCTGCTCTCTATAGATCTGCTCTTGTCTTCATTGTGTTTCTAGACATTGCGGCATTTCTATTAGGTAAGCAGTTAACTGACATCTCAGGTTGCGGTGCTCTACAAACTTCTTTTTCCTGTTATCTCATTGTGTTCATCAATTCGCTCTCTTTCATAGTCCTCAATGCTCATCTGTTACTTTTGCAGTACTCGCAATTCTGGGTAGATTTGTATTTGGGACATTGACCATATATGCGTTTCTTGCCTATCAACTCTGGAACCTACTTGCGCCGATTGACACCGTTGAGAGATTTCTGCGCAACGAGAAAGCATTAATGCCATCAAGATATGCCTACACCGACATCATAGCAATGACGAGACATTTCAAAGAAAAATTAGGCCAAGGAGGCTTCGGAGCTGTTTACAAAGGAGAGCTCCCAGGTGGCCATCTTGTTGCTATCAAGATCCTGGGAAATTCCAAGTGCAACGGAGAAGAATTCACAAATGAAGTAGCTACCATTGGAAGGATTCACCATGTTAATGTGGTTCGTCTTGTAGGGTTTTGCTCAGAAGGGTCACATAGGGCACTCATTTACGAGTTCATGTGCAATGGGTCTCTAGACAAGTACATCTTCTCTTCAAATGGATCAAACAAACATTTCACGATTGAGAAACTCAATGAGATCGCATTGGGCGTGGCTAGGGGACTTGACTATCTACATCAAGGATGCGATATGCGAATTTTACATTTTGACATTAAACCTCACAATGTGCTCTTAGATCAGAATTTTAACCCAAAGCTTTCAGATTTTGGACTTGCGAAATTGTACCCGAAGGAAAACAGCCTTGTCTCCGCTTTTGCCGCGAGAGGGACGATAGGTTACATGGCTCCTGAACTTGTTTCTAGGAGCTTCGGTCTAATATCTTACAAGTCCGATGTCTATAGTTTCGGGATGCTTCTGTTGGAGATGGCGGGTGGGAGGAGAAACGTTGATAACCGGGCAGAGAATTCAAGTCAAGTCTACTATCCTTCTTGGATCTATCATCAGCTTGAACAAACAGAGAGACTTGAATTCTGCAACGATATTGGGATCGACAATTTGGAAAGAAAGCTGTGCAAAGTGGGACTATGGTGCATTCAGATGCGGGCATCAGCTCGTCCTTCCATGAGCAAAGTTGTAGAGATGCTTGAAGCTGATGGGGATACAATCGACATGCCACCGAAGCCTTTCCTATTTTCTTCTCCAACTTCATCTACAAAACCGTCCTCAGTACACCCCTCTCTCACAGAAATATCAACCATCTATGAGGATGAATGAATTTCCCTCGAGTCATCTAAAAGAGATCTATGGTATCTCCTCATACGTTGTTGCTAATTTCATGTTTCTGCAATTTTCATTGCTCTATTTGTAATTGATATGTCTCAAAATTTGGAAATAATAACGATATAATTTTCTGGTTTTCTTATTTTTTTTTTATTTTTTTATTTTTAATACTTTTCCAGTGTACGGCTTTCTATGCATACCATTTATTTAATCTCATGGGGTGTTCTACGTGGTATTTTGTTAATCCTGAAGATTTTTGTTATATTGTTGTCACCATAAGAAAATACTTATCTAAAATGGCAGGTAAGAAATTTCTACTTGACTTTTTGCTCTTCTTTCTTTACCTAACATTGTACGCTGTTTACCCATGATCAAGGGCTGCATAATTGGACTTTGAAATTGGAATGTGCGAGGTAACTCAAATCATTTATCATGAAAGACCTGCATGGGAAAGATCTAGGTTTTCTTGTTTTTATAGCTCTTGTTAGCTCACATGTCTCATCTTCTTTCTTCTTGCTGGTTTATTCAGGGCATTGGGTTCGATTTCCAGTCAAAAGGCGATCCAACATTCTGTAAGGATCCATCTATTGAACAGACATGCACTGATAACACAACAATCATGGTGGGTGACACCGTACATAAATTTCACATGGGCACCTTTTTGTGGTACCCCAAGTATGGTCCGACATCGATACTGATTGAGAGATTAAATGATTTATAATGTAACTCCAAGGAGTCGAGTGTGTCATTGACAATCTTGGCAGTGGATTGAGTCAAACAATGCATTGCACGCAGCGGGTTTCACGACTTACTATGGACCAACGTCTCGCAGGCTCAGGGTATGACAAATGATATCACATCAATGTTTTAAATATCGGCCGAATATTACCGGCTATTTATTGGTTTATTGGTTCTTCCCATAGACTTTATACCTTCCTAGCGAAGAGGCTCGGAAAGCTCCTTTTTTCCCCCTCTTACAAATTGGACTCTTATAATGTCACGTGTTAGACAATTGTTGACTTTGCTAATATCCTGCTGCCGCCCGGGCCTTGAGCTCACGTGCTCCGGTAACGACACCATCCTCTCCCTCCCTTCGCTGCCCCCTTTCAAAGTCGCCAACATCAGCTACGAAAGCAGCAGGCTGACCCTCGATCTCAGATCCTGGTTCGGGCCCGGGTCCGGTCCCTGCCCGCTCCTCAACCTCAGCTCCCTGCTTGCCAATCTCACTACTCCAGTGTACACCCCAGTGGCCCAGTTGGTGAGCTGGGCCCGCTGCTCCACGGAATTCGTGCCCTGTTCGGGCCCAAACTGCGGCGAAGTTGCGGGCCCGGCGCCGTCCTGCTTTGCTGACGCGGGCTATTTTGTGTACGCCGTGTTTGAGTACGAGACGATGGACGCTCTGCCCCGTGATTGCGAGGTGTTTCAGACGGAGAGAGGAGGGAGGTGGTGTTTTCATGGTATGTTGATGGAGAAGCCGGCGTGGATTGCGGGGTGTGCGAGAGGGCAGGGAGCCAATGTGGTCTCGACTTTGCGAGGAACCAGAGCTTCTGCATCAGCCACCAGCAGCCGCACCGGCAGCATCATGGTGAGGATACATGCATGATGTAAATTATTTTTTATCTCAGTTTATTACGTAATGTGAAGTGCTGGTGTCAAAATTTTTTTTACTTTCTCTAAGATATTGTTTTTTAGTGACATAAATCACATTAAAATTGATTTGAACTGACATTCAAAAAGTTCTTTTTTTTTTGGAGAAAGGACATTCAAATTGCTACTGTTTTGTGCATTTGAAACACTGGAAAAATATTATGTTCACATGTCTCCGTTTGTTTGTGTATGTCCGTAAAATGCACATTGACTAGTAAGCATCGCAGGGTGAGCGGCCTACGGGCAGCTTGGCTACCTGCGACGTGTGACGGGTTAGGTTTGCTGGGGTCTTGGATACTTTGCAGTGACACTGCACATTCCATGTTATTAGGCTATAATTTTTTAGGTTTGGTTGAAGAAACAAGATAAATTATGTGCAATATGTTAATAAGTTAGCGTTGCTACTTGTGGTAGATTTGAATTGTTTTATATTTTATTGTTTCGTCTTACATATAATGCAAATTATTTTGAACATCACGTGCTTGAAAATTATATTTGTTTGACATTTTCATCTTGTACTAAGATGCAATAAATGGTTATTTTAGATATATTGTAAACTTGTTTAGTAAATAGCTACTCATTTAGCATGTAGCTCACACATTATTTTTAAACTCAACATATACTGAGTAGCCTGTAGGGTCGAAGCTCAAGCAATATAGTAGATGCAGAGCTTTGAATTTGCTTAGTACATTCGGAAGTTAGAGATTGTTACAGGCTCTTAGTCACCATAAATTCCCTGAAGAGAATAAATTTTGAGGAATGCACACTGAAGCTTTATTTATGTTGGGAGTTAATTACAGACAATAGATTTTGAACAACTAGAGATATTGATCTGAAACTTCTAACATTAATGATTAATTCTCTTTATATCTTATTGCTACGTAAACGAAGGGTAAAGTAATGTTAGTATTTGCATGAGATTTTTCTCTTGCATATGTTGTCATTCTTCTGTACCCTGTTCAACTTCTATGCAGTCTTGAGGGCTGGGAATGCGACAGGTTATACCAAGATGGGCGAGGTCTCGTACAACACACAGGAATGTGCATGGTTTATATCTTCAACTCTACTAGGAGCCACCTCTAGAATTCATGTGCGTGACCTCTGGAATCCTTCAGTGCTTGGTGGAGTTTTCTTAGGTAGTAGATCTAAATGGAGAGTATGCCACACCCTAGACCTAAGTTAGTTTTGCTCCACAGTATGCACAACGAGTGAATTCTTGTTTATATGAACACAAAAATTGACAGTAGCTAGCCTTTGTTGGAGGAGGAAAATAAAAAAAATCGTATTCATGTGTTTATCGGAAAACAAGTTTATAGTTGGTGACCTGCTATGTACTTTTCTTTTGGAGGGCTACACTTATAGCTACCTAAACCAAATAGTTGCACCAGACATAATACATGCACAAAATCCAGCAAAACTTGCCTAATTCCATCTTTCACTTTCCTCCTTTGGCACCATATCAGCATTTAAGAATTGTATGGTAATTCTCTAAGACAGCTTTTAGATAAATTGGCACGAGACATGCACCGGATTGTTATATATCAGAAACCTTTTTTTCTTATAAGATGCTCACTCTCTTATTACTGTTCCAATGTTATCTTGCACTCTCTCACTTATATTGCACTCGTCTAATGCTTCTATACTTGGTTGCAACAAAGAGGACAAGCCCTATGTCACAAACTTGTGTAATTGTATAACTATATGCTTCGGGTTTCTCCAGGCTTCTAAATTTGCATTGTGAGCTAGAAACTTCTTGTAGGCTATCGATGTTGTAGATTTTTTGGAAACTTACTTAGAAATATCTAGATGATGCACATGTTCCACGTGGCCAAATATATTTGTTTCAGAAACTTGTGAGAATTCAAGTTACTACTTATCTCAACAGTTGCTGATTAGGTAAGTGCCTCTAAGAACCAGTCTACCAGATTAGGTAGCTGTAATATCCTCCAGGGTTGTGGTGGCTTCCTATGTCCCTTTTGCTAGTTTAATATCTCCAAAAACCATTTTTCTTCCTCTAAAATTTCAACATCCTGAAGTTGCTGCGTGATGATTTTTAGCCACTGCAGCGATCAAATCCAAACTTGCATCATGGTACCCAAAAATTTTACAAATGCATCCAACGGAAAAGAACACAACTGGCTGCCTGGTGCTAGATGCAATGTATGATCTTGTTCATGATAAACAATGGGCAACATTTATGAAATTAGGAGGAATACAAAGAGGAAGTACTCTGTCCTCCTTGGGTTTTACGCATTAATATTCTTTGAAATTGTTGTGAGAAATTTCTTTTCTTGGTTGTTCTGTAATTAGCTGAAATGTTTGGACTTCCACTGGAGCAAAATAACCTTTCAATTTTAATTGGATAAAAAAGTAATTATAATAATCTATTACTCTTAAAGACCCTTTTCCTTTGGATAATTTTTTTCCTCGTGCAAAATTTCTTTTCTATTTGTTTCTGTGGACTGATCAAAGTGTTATAAGACAATGGATTATACATGTGCTGTTCTGTCTTCATACCCCTTGGATGTCCACAAGGATCTACTTGTCTCTTTAAAAAAATATTTCCTTATCCATTAGTTATCAGGAAATTATTTTTCCTTAAGGAAAGTTTTAGCAACTCCTTGTCTGAATGAAAATTTTTATTCTAATCCTAATCTCTCTCTCATGTTTTGCAGGATCACATGTGAAGATCATTGCAGGTGAGTGCTTATATGTGTGTGTGTCTCTCTCTCTCTCTCTCTCTCTCTATATATATATATATATATATATATATATATATATACTCTCTCATGTTTTGCAGGATCACATGTGAAGATCATTGCAGGTGAGTGCTTATGTGTGTGTGTTTATATATATAAAATTGTATATATATACACACACACACACTAGTGTGTGCCCCGTGCAAAGCACAGCCGAATCACGATCAAATCAACATCAATTCCGGACTCAAATTCAGAAGTTGGTTTACTGCCATATCAGGAACCCGACTCACTGCCATATCTGGAATCAAGTCAACAAGTCGTTGCCAAGTCAATCAACCACACAAGAGAACCAGAACCGGAAACAAAGGACGAAACGGACAAACACCCGGGGACTCGGCCGAAACCGAACCACCCCAGGGTGGCTCGGCCCAAGCCGAGCCACCCTGAGGTGGCTCGGTGGCCGAGCCACCCCAGGGTGGCTCGGCCAAGGCCGAGCCACCCTGAGGTGGCTCGGCCAAAGCCGAGCCACCCCAGGGTGGCTCGGCCAAGGCCGAGCCACCCTGAGGTGGCTCGGCCAAGGCCGAGCCACCCATGGGTGGCTAGGCTCAGAACTGTGCAAATGCACAGTTCTGAGTGCCTATAAATAGGCCTTGTGCTCATTTGTTTCAGAGGTTGGAAATTTTGGAGAGAGGCGAAGCCCTGCTGGATTGAAGACTCAGATCTAAAAAAGATCACAACTTTGAAGGCTTGGAGACTTGGACTTTCAGATCCGGTGCTCGGCGATCACCAAC